CTGACCCCTGACATCTTAGCAAGTGGCCAATATCATCAGCTAAAAGTCTAATTGTTGATAAAAAGAGACGGATAAAAACATTAATATTCACTGTATACCACTGTATTATTATAAATGCAGATGACCATGAATTCTGCCTTTCTTGAAGAAATTTTGGACAAAAGAAGCAATATCTGTCATTAGTAAATTTTCTTGTTCTGAAGTAGTTGTTAGGCATAGTGGCACACACCTTTAATCCCAGCACTCAGGACGCAGAGGCAAGAGGATCTCTGTGAGTTTGAGGCCAGCCTAGTCTACAGAGTGAGTTTCAGGACAGCCAGGGCTACACCCTGTCTCAAAAAAAAAAAAAACCCAAAACAAAACAAAAAACAAAAAGCCACAGTGGGGCAGCAGGAAGCAGTTATGTTCTATAGATAAAAAATTAGGTAAATGTTATTTTTTTTAGTGAGCCAGTTACTGTACTATAGAAAAAAATTAAAAGCCTAAAGGAAGTTTTTCAGTCACCGCATTAGTGAGAATCTTTTCTTTCTTGTTTATTTACTTTAAAAGACTTATTTATTTTATGTATACAAGTACATTGTTGCTGTCTCAGACATATCAGAAGAGGGCATTGAATCTCATTACAGGGTGGTTGTGAGCCACCATTTGGGTACTGGGAATTGAACTCAGGACCTCTGGAAGAGCAGTCAGTGCTCTTAACCACTGAGCCATCTCTCCAGCCCTATTTGTTTATTTTTTGAGACAAGATCTCTCTGTGTAGCCCTGGTTATACTGGAACTCGATTTGTACACCAGGCTGGCCTGCCTCTGCCTCCCAAGTGTTAGGATTAAAGGTGTGTGGTACCACTGACCAGCTGAGAATCATTCTTAGTACATGTAAATGTGGGCTCTTAACATTTACCATCTGCATTTTCCAAAAATATTAGTCATCGTTCAATATCACAAATTATTTCCAGTATTACCTTTTAAATTAAGTAGAATTCACTTGCTGAGTAATTCAGACCTTAAAAATCCTCTGTTTTCTTTGTTAGAGCAAGATTCCCGAGTGTTGTCCCATGCTGCAGTACATAGCAGATCTGTGCAGGAACTGCTGGCTGTCGACACAGGCTTCAGTTATACTCTGCTGGTGATGGAACAGTTCTATTTCTGTGTTATGTATGGCAATTTACTACTGTAAGTCCAGGACTGGAGGATCTGTCGCCCTCTTCTGGTCTCTGTGGGTACTGCACACATGATGATGCCACAACCCTTGTAGGCAAAACACCCATGTACATACAAAAATAAAATACATATATTTTCTTAAAGTTGATTTTTCAGAGTATAGCTGAGGACCCTGTCTTTGGGGACATCTCCAAAGCGATTGTCTCCAACCCTTATGTGCCTGCCAAGCTCTCTGCACAGCTGCACAGCTGTGTGAGCTGCTCCATCCACTGGAGGTGGTCAGACACAAAAGAGGACTGAACTCCTGGCCCAGGTTTAAACCTACCTTTCAATTTCCAACAGAGAGCCCATAACTGGATTTTTTTTTTAAATAAGGTCTCTTTGTGTAGCCCTGACAATCTAGGTATTTAATATGTAGACCAGGCTGGACCTCATACAGGTCCTCCTGTCTCATAACACATAGGATGTCTGTCCTTAAACCTTACTTTTTCAAGTTGAATTTAAAAAACCATTTATTTTATGTGAGTATGTGATGTGTGCTGGCACATGCACATCTGAGGATAACCTGTGGGAACTGGTTCTCCACTTCCACTAGAGAGGCTCTGGGAAACTCAGGCTGTCAGTCAAGCTGATGACCCTGGGTATGGAGCCACCTTACTGGCCCACCCTTTCAGGTTTTTCAGAGATGCTTTGCAGTTAGCCGTGAGCACGTCTTATTTATTTGTAAACACTTTAGTGGTTTTTAATGCACGTATGTGTATGTTTATGTCATGTGCTTATGTATGGTGTGTGCATAGGTACTGGAAGCCAGAGGACAATTATGGGTCTTATTTCCAGGAAGGCTGTTCACCTCTTCGGAGACAGGGTCTCTCATTAGTCCAGGGTTCCCCAGTTAGGCTGGACTAGCTCGGCAGCAAGCCTCAGAGATCCTCCTGTCTCTGCCTGTCTAGTGCTTGAATTACGAGCATAGCCACCATACCTGGCATTTGTACAGTCGTTCAGGGGATCAGACTCAGGTCCTTTCTAGGCAAGCACTTTACTGTGGAGCTGTCACTGAAATGAATTGTTTTCTGGGCGTGTCAGGAGTTCCTACCACAGGGGTATAGACACACAACTGATGCTGTGCCTCACTCTTGTTTCCTGTGATCTCACTGGGGCCTTTGGGCTGTAGAGATCCCCTTCTATCTCATGCAAGGTTCTTTTGTGTCAATAGATGGTTTCTGGTGCCCTCTCTTTTCTTCTCTTGCCTGAATTCCCCGACTAAAATCTCCTGTGCATTGCTGACTAGACATATGGAGAACAGAGAAATCTAGCCTTGTTTCTGGCCTCAGGAGAAGGATTTCCAATGTTCACATGACATACAATGTTGGTTGTAGGCATTTTATAGTTACCCTTTGCCATGTTGAGGATTCTCTTCTCCTCCCAGTGGTTGAATTTTATTTATTTTAAATCATAAAAGTTTGTTGGTTTTATTTCAAGTGCTTTTTCAATATTTGTTGAAAACGTTTGTGTGGGTTTTCTCTTTTAGTCTTTTAATTTGAATTATGTTGTCACTGTTAATCAGAATTATGTCTGATTCTCATTTGTGATAATCAGCCTAAAATTCCTACTATAAATCTCCTTTGGTCATGGCATAACATCATTTGTATATACTGCTAGATTTAATTTGCTCTTGTTCTGTTAAGGAGTCTGTTTTGCTGTTTGGATTGTTTTTAGGTTTAGACTCCGAGCCTTATGAACGCCAGGTAGATGCTCTACCACTGAGCTATGTGCCCAGCCACTATTTGGATCTTGAACGATCCTCAAAAGCTCACATGTCAAAAGCCTCATCTCCAGCACAGAAGTATTAAAGATGGGGCCTCTGGGAGTTGACTTGCTGTGGATGCCCTGACCTTGCGGGTGGATTAGTTGCTTTGTGCATCTGTAACTGAAGAGCCTCTGGGAGATGGTGGGACATACAGGAGGCGGAGCCTGGCTGGGAAAATTAGATCAGTAACAGCACATTCTCTTCCTTTAAAAAGTTACTTACTATTATTATATGAATTGTGTGTGTGTGTGTGTGCGTGTGAGTGAGTGTATGGACGCTAATGCTGTGTGTGGGGGAAGGTGGAAATCAGAAGACGATGCAGATTTGGTTCTTCCCTTTCATGTTTGTCTGTGCTCTGGGGGTTTGACTCATTTGCCTGTCCAGTGTGAACAGCAAGCACTGTACCTCCTAGGCGTCTCACTGGCTCTGGGATTCTGCTCTTGGAGGCTGTACTTTGACCCCAGCCCTTCTGGTCCTCTGGGTTTCTTAGCTGCCACAAGAAGAGCCTGTTGGCTCTGCCATGCACTATCTGCCATCGCATAGGACCAGAAACAATGACCAGAAGCAGCTGTGGATTGAATCTTCTGAAACTCTGAGCCGAAGAAACCTTTCCTCTGTTAGTTTGACTTTGTGAGGCATTTTGTCATGACGGAAATCAGATTAACACATTCAGAGCAGGTACAGGGCAAGGTATCTTTTCTGACCATGGCACAAGGGTGAATTATCTAGACATACAGTAATATGATCAGTTAGAATTTTAATTGCTTTATTCATTCTTGTCTATTATCAAGGTCACCATGGCCACAGTTATTCACATAGCTTTGCATACCTAGTCATTATTTTTGTCATATCTGTGATAAAATGCCCAATAGAAGTGGCACAACAGAGGAAGGGCTTGATTTAGCTCATCATTTGGAGGGGTCTCAGTTCATCAGTCCTGGATGCAGTAGGAGCTCATAGCTGCCTCTCCATATGGTAAGGACCAGACGTTAGGAAAAACTTCAGCTGGAACCAGAATCCAGTGTAACTTTCAAGGACTCACCTCTAGTGACTCCAGCCAGGTTCCATGCTCTAAAGGTTTCATGATACCCCAAAACATTGTCACCAGCCAGGGACCATGTGCTCAAACATTAGAGCCTGTGAAGGATACCTCACCCTGAGGGAATTACAGCATTCACTTACGGTTATTGAGTAGCCTGCATTTTCACCAGGGATAACTGAACCAAAGGCTGTGCGTGAATGTCTGTTTGTTCCCTCTTGTCATTGGCTTTTACATTTTATTTGTGGTGGAATCTGCATCATTTCCCCAGGCTTCTTGGTGTTAACCATCACAGAAATTTCCTGCACATTTGCTACACAGTGCTGTTGCCCAAAAGGGGGCAGTAGCCAGTGGGCACAGGGGCTTGCTGAGTTTATCTAGAGGCAGGGGGTCACAAGCCTTGTGTTATGAGGAAGGATATATCATTTGGGAGCTTTGTGAATTAAAAATGAAATATGAACTTATTTATTTAGGATTAAAAAAAATCACAATAAATTCCCAAAGGTGCTGTGGTTAACAGGCCCCAGATCTCTTGGTCAAATCCAGAGAACAGCCTGCTTTGAAGAGCTTCCTGGTTCCTGACTTCCTGTCAGCCCAGAGCTCCACAGACAGCAGCACCCATGAGGGCCCGAAGCTCAAGGGCAGATTGGCTTTTTCTTTTGGTTCACTATCTCAGGGTATCTGTACTTGCCTCTTGTGGGTTGAAGAAGTTCCCTTTTATTCCTAGCCAGCCGACATCTTTACATTTTTAATTTTGGAGAAGTCTAAATTCAATACTTGGCACCCAGTCAGAGAGAAATTTGATTTTGCATCATGTGTATATGTGAACTTGTAAGTGTGGGGGTGGGAGGGGAGAGGCAGAGGGAGAGGCATGGGGAGCAGAGCCCGCCTGCTTCCTGAGCAGGCCTTGCCCAAGCGCTGGCTGAATGTGGTTTTCCTCTCAGACAGCAACTGGCTCAGAATAGAGTGGTGGCTTTACTGACTGAGGCCGGCAGCTCCCAGGAGGGAAGAGAAGCCGAGGACTTTGCAGTAAGTACGAAGTTGGTTATTATTTAAGACTAGGGTAAGAGATCTTAGGGGATGGCTCTCACTGGAAGAAAGGTCCTGATGCACCCGTAGTCCTGAAGGTGGTCACACAGCAGCCGTGGCGTCTTCTGTTGTGCGGGGACTGTGGAAGCTAACACTGCTTGCCTGCTTTGGGAGCCGGCAGTACATTTGACACTCATATATTATCTTGGGAGGAAAACCATCTTCTTGTGAGTCATTTTTCCCTATCATGCAAAGTCAGGATGATTCATGCTCAAGTTACTGTATAAACGTCTGCCAAGAAGCCTTCTCCTAGGGCACCAGTCACTAGAAATGCAGAGCTCCCTCCTCATAAATAAGGTGACTAGACCAGCTTGGTGCATCCTTTTGGATAAGGACATAGCTTCCTAGGAAGTTATATGTTCATGGTTTTTCTGTGACCATCTTCCCCAACCATGCAGAAGGCTGTCAGTACTTTGCTGTATCTTCCAAAGGCGTCTGCATTTCTATTCTTAGTTTCCACTCTTTTCTGGGAATGGAGCTTGGGCTTTGATTTCTTTTTCTGGTCCACTTGAACTTTTATATTGGAGTGATTTAGCTCAGTAACGCAGAGTTCACATGTAAGTGGTGAGATGCACCTTCCCTTTCAGAACGCAAAGGTGAGGATGTGTTTGTGCAGCCTTGGCAGGAGTTCTCATGGGCAGGAGTTCTCGTCCGGTGGCTCCTGTTGTCCCAGGAAGTTCCATTCTCTACAGTCCCTGCATCTTGGGGTCTTTTCAGAGTAGCCAGTTCTGCTTCCTAGAACCTTCCTCTTGCCAAGCGAGTTACTGTCAACTGTCGTCTAGACAGAAAGCCCTAAAGGCAGAGGAGAACGCAGAATGAGCCACACTCAGCTTTCATTTAAAACCCTGGGCTCGGAAATGAACTCCTGCACGCAAGCTCTCCTCTTTTAAAAACTCATCTCAGTTTTCGTTTTCAAATGTTAAATGACAAAAGTAATGTTTTAGGGTTCTCACCCTGGAGCAGGAAAGGCTGCTGCGTGCTTTGTAAGCAGGATTCCAGCCATTCATTGCCCGCAGTAGCCCCTGCGACAGCTAGCTTTGTGGCCCCGTGTGAGGTGGGGCACAGCCTGGTATGGCAGCTGGGCAGATAGGTGATGGTGCAGGCAGAATGGGAAGTCTTGTCTTGACTTCCTGGTCCAGGGCTATGCACTGATACCGCAGCAAAGAGCTATTTGGTTATTGCCTACCCTCCCCCACTCTTTTTAAAAAAGTATTTTTGCATTTTTGAGACAGAGTTTCTCTTGACTGTCCTGGAACTCACTCTGTAGATGAGGTTAAATTTTTTTAAGCTATAAAAAAAAACAGACAAACCAGGTCTATAGTGGCTCATGCCTTTGATCCTAGCACCTCAGAATGCAGAGGCAAGTAGATTCCTGTGAGTTCAGGGCTACACAGAGACTCTGTCTCAATAATCAATCAATTAAGTAAATAAATAATTGAAAAAAAAAACTAAAAAATAGGTTGCTTTGTTTCTCCTCTCTCTTCTCCCTCCCACCATCATTCCCACACTCCCTCCTTCCTCCTACCCCCAGCACTGTCCCATTTAGCCCTCCCTCCCCCTCTCCCTTCTTTTCTTGCTTCCTTCCATTTCTTACATTATAACTAATACTTCAGTAACTTCTTTTAGTCAAGGGATGTTTCCCACGTTTATGAGTTATATCTGTAAATTTGCCAGTGAAGGATCACTGGGTCAAAGGGTACAAATGCTTTGTGTGTCACAGGTCCTGAGCAGCCAGCCTAGTGTGAAGCATATGCTGTACTTCTGAGCTGCTCCAGGCCTGGCGGGAGCTTTTTAATGGTGCCTGGTATATGCTTCTGGGTTGCTTTCTACCCGCTGTGTGAGAGCCTTCTATTTTAATTTCATCTGTTTGCCACCATGGAGATGACAAAGAGTGAGCATCTTCATTTTCACAAGACGATGTTTAGGTCTTGTCTCCATCTTGCTGCTGCTGGCTTTCATGGGGCTTTAGTGGAATACATGTGATAGTTAATCTTGAATGTCAAGTTGGTTTGACCCAGGATGCTGGAGAGGTTCCTAAAGTAGACTTAGGGCGTTCTGTGAGGGTGTTTCCACAGAAGACCTGATAAGGCCTTCCGACTTAAGCGATGTTGAATCCACTGATAGATTCAGACCTGGGAGACTTTGGCTTCTGGGAAGTGGGTCTGGTTTGGAGATGACAGCCCTGAAGTGTGCCTTGCTCAGGTCCCTTCCTGTTACCCTTGCTCTGGTTCCTTCATGAGAGGAGCAGCCACCTCCACCCCCAATCTACTCAAGGACTGAAACTCTCAAAGAGAAAGTGACCTGTGCTGCCTTCAGCTGTTTCTGTCAGGCATTTGGTCACAGCTTGATGTCTGTCATGATGTCATAATATCATGATGTTGCCAGCTACTTTCCCAGATCTGTGTAAACCTTCTAAAGGTTTTTCATGGATCTGGAAAGGGGCCAAGTGGTGACAAGCACTTCTTGCTGCTCCTGCGGGTTCCCATTCAGCTCCCAGCACACACTCCAGGGAGCTCACAGCAGTTCCAGGGCTGCTGCCCCCTCCTTCTGACCTCTACAGGTACCAGCATTTATCTACCCTCCACACACGCATAATTAAAGTAAAGCAAATCTTAAAATTTGAATTTGGTAGATGCTGGCTTAACTATATACAAGACCCTGGTTTTGATAAGTAAAACCCCTAAAATAAATAGTGAATAAATAACATAAAAATGAGTAATTGGGAAATCATGTAGTCATTTAGTATTTTTCCGCGGTTGAAGCTGTTCTGCTTTTTCTGAGCCTTCTCTTTTAAAGGATTTATTTTCTTCTAGCATTTACACTGCTGAGTGATGTGGAAGGTAGATTTAAGCTGACATTTAAAATAATACTAAACTGTTTTCCCAATATCATTTATAAATAACCCCATACTCTCTGATATATTTTTAAAGATTTTTGTATCTCTGTGTGTGTGTGTGTGTGCGTGTGTGTATGAATATGAGTGCAAAGCCTGCAGAGGCCAGAAAAGAATGCTGCATCTCTTGACACTGGCTCTGCAGGTGGTAGTGAGCTCCCTGGTGCTGAGCTCAAACTGATGTCCTCTAGGAGCAGGAAGTGCTCTCTCCAGCTTCGCTTGCTGATATTTCATAATGTCTTTTTTCTTTTCTTTTTGAGACAGGGTTTTCTTATGTAGCCCTCGCTGTCCTAGAACTGACCAGGCTGGCATCAAACTCAGAAAAATCTGCCTTCTTCTGTTTCCCATTTCATAATGGTTTGGGATAATCTGAGATGTGTGTGTGTGTGTGTGTGTGAGATATATTTCTGTTTCATTAGCACATCATGGTAATTTATCCTTTTGTGATATATAGGGTGAATGGAATGTTTAAAGTAATTGTGTCAAAATAGGAAAATAGATAATGTTGTTTTTTGGAGGTGAAGAAATACAGACTACATTCTCAAACACACATATGTGTGCACACAAAGAGTCTGGTTTATGTAATATGTAGAGGGTATGTAAATTATGAATATATGTATACTGGATGCACAAGTGTGCATTATGTATTTTTTTTATTGAGTCAAATGTATAGTTCTTTTTGGCTTAAGAAAAAAACTTTGTGTAATCTGGAGACTGCACACATTAGGAACTGCTACCCCATAAAGACAGGCTAGTGGCTGGAGGAGAGAGCATGTGAAACAGGGCAGACTGTTGTGTGATGAAGAACTCCCATGCATCAGAAACAAATACACAAGAAAACTGGGCAACATTTCTAAGTAGGTGATTCCCAGAAGAGTAAATACATGATGTTCAGTCTCATAGTCACAGGAGAAGTGCACAGCATTGCAAATGCAATGCAATGCCACTGGCCAAACACTGACAGCATGAATACTAATGACAAGAACATATGGATGTGTACATTAGCAATAAGAAGCTAGATAGTGAGTTCTAGAACAGTCATGGCTACACAGTGAGACCAGTCTCAAAAAGAAAAAGATAAGACCATATATTTTGTGTAATTATGCATATGCGTGTGGCAGAGGCCACAGGTTAACATCAATCATGTATTTTCCTCAGGAGTGACAGGGTCTGTCACTGTACCTGGAGCTCACTGGTTTGGCTAGCAGAGATGGCCATGTCTCCACCTCCCCAGCACTGGGGTCCCAGGCACACGCCACCATGCCTGGAAGCGGGATCTGAACTCAGCTCCTCATGCTTGCACGCTAAACGCTTTACAACTGAGCAGCCCAACGCTGTACACTTTTAAATAAGAATATCTGGTGTGATCAAATTATGTTTAAAATCTTAGTTATGTTAAGAAACATCGTTATTTTTATATAGTCATAAGAATTCATTTTAAAAAGCACTAGATGTGTGGTACCAAGCTGTGTGTGCTGATTCCTCCAAAGAGTGATGTACAGCCAGGGCAAGTCTGCTTTCTCTTTGGGGAGGATATACTTCAGTGTTGGAGTTTCTTATGAGTCTGTGTTTGTATATATGTGGAACATAAATAGATAATCAGGAAATTTCTCAGACTCATAGGCGAGAAGATTCTTGGGAACAGGATCCCAGATGTAGAAGCTCAGCATTGAGAAAGTAGATGGCAGGTTTTAATATCAGGGTGTGTTTGGGAGGCAGGAGAAGCCTGAATTAGGTTATAGAAGAGGAAGCACGGAACTTGTTGAGAAAGCAGAACACCGAGTACTGGAGGACAGGTTGCTGGAGTGATGCATGCTGGCTGCTCCCTGCTCTGTCCCATTCCCAGGCTTAGTGTGTTGGCTACCTACCGAGCTCAGCTCAGTGGCACCCTAGAGTCACTTGTATTTTATCTCTCCACTTAAAAGCTACCACCTGAGGTTCAAAATAACCCTTTATCCAGTTTCTTAATCCATTTTGTGTTGCTATAACAGAAGATGGGACACCGAGTACTTTGTACGTAAAATGGCAGTTCTTAGCTCACAGTTTC